GGCCCAGCATTCTATCCACTGTGCCACCTTGTTGCTTGGACAAAAGGAGAATTGTGATATCATGTGGCACACCTTCATAGGAAGCAAATTCCAACAAAGTTAGTAGATCCTCTCTCCCACTATTCCTGGTGCTATGGGGATAAGGAAGGGGACAAAAGCCTGAGAGTCTGGAGCAATGATTTCCAGTCCAGCAATAGCTTCCTGCCAGGAAGGGGCTACCATCATTTTGGGTAGGAATGAAGGAAATGTGAAACTCCCAAACCACTCTTAGGATAAAAGTAATTCAAATTCTTTTTGTAATAGAAAAACATATGTCATAGAACACTGGTGGCATAAGCATAAGGAATTGGTATTTAAATCAGAGGCACAGGCCACCATCATGATTTCCCAGTGGTTGTCAGTTGTAGTCTATAAGCACAGCCAGGGTGTAGACCAAGTCACTGGTGCAAGGACTGGTGGTGGCCAGTTCTCAGGAAGAAACTTTGGGTACTTGGCCTCATCCTAACTTCCTGCTTGGAATCAGTCAGTCCAGCAACTTTCATTGAGAAACTATAATGTATTCAAGGCCCATCCAAGCTACTATGGGAGATACAAAGATGTCTACCGATAACAGTTTGCATTTCTGTAGTATTTCAAGACTTACAGAGCACTTTCCATACAATAACCCTGTTAGTTAAGTCATGTAAATATTTTCATCCCTATTTTACAGATGAGAAAACTGAGGTTTGGATATTTGAAGTGACTTGCCAACAGTCAAAACTAGGAAATGTCTCAGCCAGGTCTCCATTTCAGGTCTTATGCCTGGGAATCTGGAGATCTTTCTATTATGCCAGGCTGCCTATCCCTTGATCTCAAGGAACACCTTTACAATCTAATTAGAGAGAAAGGACTCTTGTTAAAATATAAGTTCCTTGAGGGCAGGAGCTATCTTTTTTTTTTTAAGGGCAATTGGGGCTAAGTGGCTTGCCCAGGGTCACATAGCTAGTAAGTGTCTGAGGTCAGATTTGAACTCAGGTCCTCCTGACTCCAGGGCTGATGCTCTATCCACTGTGCCACCTAGCTGCCCCAGAACTATCTTTCTTTCTGCTCATATTTGCATTCTCATTGCTTAGTACAGTGCATAGCATACAATAAGTGATTAATAAATGCATGTTGACATACAAAACTGACAATAAGGAAACATGGTATTAGAAATACAGCATGGAACCCTCAAAGTCAGGTGACTCAGTTCCTACTTCTAACTTAGTCATAAAATACAACCTTGGGCAAACCCCTTACCCTCTCTAGGTTTCTGCTCCTCCATTCTTAAAATGAAGGGGTTCTGTCAGATCTAGTTCAGTCCTGACATCCCGTGTATAATGATTCAGAATTCTTCCCAGTCTTAACAGCCTAGGACATAAGTGCTAAACTTTATGGTAGAGATTAGCAATGCTGGAGGGGTTCAGAGAAGGGAGAGATTGCAAGTTAGGGGAAGACTTCAGAGAGGAGCTGGGACTTCTTCAGGCGATAAGGGATGAATAAAATGGACAGGAAGGAGCAAGGCAGTCCATAGTGGGGGAGGAATCTAAGCAAGGTCACAGAGGTGGGATTCACCTGGCCTGTTTGAGGTATGTAGAGGAAAGAAGGATGTCTGGATTAGCGTGCCATCATGGCATCCTATAAAGAATGCCACTAGACCAAGTCAGGAGATCTAAGATCTAGTCCTAGCTCTGCCATTCCTAGACATGTAACTTTGAGTAAGTCACGTCTCCTTTTTGTGTCTCAGTTTCCATATATGTAAAGGAAACAGTATCTTCTCTATCAAACTCATGGAAACATTGTGATGGAAACTCTTTGCAAACTATAAAGCCTATAGAAATATAAGTTTTTCTTCTTTCCCTAGTACTGTGGTGTGGAGATCCTTCCTCCCCCAACCAGCCTGGAATGGAGAAACAAAGTCCATCCCAGGCCCGCTGTCTCTCAGTAATCAGTAGCCAACCACAGGAGGCTTCTTGAGGCTAGGCATTGCACTCTCACGTGCTGGGAGAAATGAGTCACCAGGGAAGGAAAGGGCCAGTAGGGCAGAGATAAACAACTCCTCTTGGTTAACTGACTTTACCACCCAGGGTCCTATGGCTGCCTCCTTGCTGGTCAATGTTTTGGTAAAGGAGAATCCAAAATGCCTCAGTGTCTCTTGTCTGGCACAGTTCAGTGGGTACTGATGCTCACTGAGGTTCAGAAGATAAGCCAGTAATCTTAAAAAAAGAAAAAAAGCCTTATTAAAGCAGTTATCCTTGGGAGAGATTGTGAGCCTAGGTTATAGGTCAGTGCTTTGGAGATGGCAGGAACCTCTGTTGATACTAATTATTTCTACTTCTGCCTAGACTCTCTAGCCCCATAAATCAGGTCTCTCTCCATACCTTGAGTTCCCTCTGAGGTAAAGAATTAGATTTGAACATTGACCTTGATGATGAGGTCATTCTAGCTTGATATCGTAACTATTAGGCAAATAGGATCGTGAAATAATTTGAACTGAAAAGAACCTTCTGATCCTTTCCAGCTCTTCCACTAACTCCACGTGACTTTGGCCAAATCACCTTCTTCAGAGGGTGTAAAAATGAAGGGGTTAGACTAGGTGGTGTCCCACGTCCCTTTCCCTCCAGATAACTACGTCCCCAAAAACCAATGACTATCAACTCTGTGCGAGGTTGAAATACCTAAGCTTTAAATTACATTTTTGGCTGCTGTGGACCACTGTTAGATTGAGCTTGCAATCCAACAAAACCCCCAGGTTTTTTTTCCATGTGAGTTGCTAACTAATCATTCCTCCCCATTTTGCCCTTGTTAAGCTGATTTTTTTTTTAACCCAAGCGAGGACTTTTTAATGCCCATTAGATTCATCTTATTAGATTCTGCCTCTCAAGATGATCATACAGAGCAGCATCTGGGGCCTAGGAGGGAGTCACTGGCCGGGGGTCTCTGGGGCTACTCGGCTCATTTGGTCACAGCAGGAGGCTGGGCTTTTGTCTGTGATCTCAGTGTGATCCACTTAGCTCTGCTTTGTGTCCCCAAACCTCACAAATACATTCCCTTGGTCACAAGGCGAACCAGATCAAAACATGCAGTTGGCAGCAGTACAGTGTGGTAGAAAGAGCCCCAGCCTTGATGTCAGGAGGCCTGCGTAACTCAGTGTGTGACCTGTGGCAAGTGGCTTCATCTTCTGTAGCCTTGGTTTCTCTATCTGTAAAATGGGGGTAATAGTGCCTGCCCTGCTTCTTTACAGAATAAAGTAAGGTGATGGATTTAAAGATGTGTTAGGAAGTTAAAAGCATCCGGCAGAGCTCTGCTTTTAGAACCAGTGCAGATTCCTGGCTCTCATACTTAGACTCTGTATGCCTTTGAGCAAATCACTTAACCTCTCTCTACTCCAGCTACTTTATAAAATGGGAATGGTAATACCCATACTAATTACCTCACAGGTTTACTAAAAGGCCCCAAAGTAATAGAAAAAATGTGAGGTGTTGTAATAATTTATATATTTGTATATACATACATATTTGTGTATAGGCTATACATATGTAAAATAATATAGATCACCCTAAAATTTATAAAAGTGCCTTTCTCACAAAACCCAAGGCAGCGAGGTGGCATAATAGATAGTGTGCCAGTGCTAGAGTAAGGAAGATTTATCTTCCCGAGTTCAAATCTGGCTTCAGACACTTACTAGCTGTGAGACCCTGGACAAGTCACTTAACCCTGTTTGCCTTGGTTTCCTCATCTGTAAGATGAGCTGAAGAAGGAAATGGCAAACCACCCCAGTATCTCTGCCAAGAAAACCCCAAATGGGATCACAAAGAAATGACTGAATGACAACAACCCAGTGAAGCAGGTCATACGTGTTTTATTATTTACATTTTGCAGATGAAGAGACTGAGTCCCACAGATGCAAAGTGTATTGCCCAAGGTCACTCAGCTAGAAAGTTCTGAAGCTAGGACGGAAGCCCAGTTCATTTGATTCCAAGACCAGGGTCCTTTCTGCTATAGTTTATTGTATTCTCATGCTTATAGATATGTGTCATACCCCCACCTCCCAAACCTGTTCCCACCCACTCAGGCACAGAAAGTGCTATCACTATCAAAGAAATAACAAAATGTCTGTTGTTGGCTTTGGTTCCAGAGTGATAGTAATGATCAAAGGTCACATGAATGTATGCATATGTATATAGTATGTTCACATCATTTCACGCATGCATAAATTGAAGCCATTAGAGATGAAGTGCCCTGGCTGTGGTCACACTGCCAGTATGTGTCAGAGCAAGGATTCACATATACATCTTCCAGTCCCACATTCAGTTCCTATAGCTGCAGGGAGTTGTGATTGTTCAGTGGGAATCTTCCCTGTTCATAGAAGAGCAGTCCAAACCAATTCAGGTGAAATGTAACGTTTATTAAGTGCCAGATACCATGCCCCAGGTACTGTGCTAAGCACTGAGATTTCAAAAACAAGCCAAATTGGAGAGGAATGAAGTCATGGCTGACCTGGGTGCCCTTCTTAAAGTGGAGGGTCTCAGAGAAACCAGAGAGAGAGGCCTCAGGGATGTGGGGGTACTTCCAGTGTGTGAAGCAGGGGTAAAATGAGCTTCCAAGGTAAAGAGGTTTCTGGGCCATTGTAGAGAAAGTAGGGGAAAATCAGGAGTGAAGCCTGAAAAGGAATGAAGAAATTCATTTCACCACATATTCATTGTGTGCAGAGCACTGGGAGATATGTGAAATTTAGCTAAGATACCAACATAGATAAATATAATGTGTAACTCTACATACTGAGTGTCTCAGAGAAATGCTGTGTGAGGTTCAGGGTAAGATTTGTTGTGGTCTGGGAGGACCCAAAGAGGTGGTTGCCATGGGAAGCCCGTGGTTTTAGACATTGTCGAGAGCTGGCAGAGGCATTGGGGGAAGGGAGGGAGCAGGGGCAACTTGAAGACTTCAGTATGGACTTGTCTGTGCCCTCTTCTCATTTCTAGCTCCTATATGACAGTCCCAAAGCTCGACAGGAAGTGGAGCATCACTGGCAGGCCTCAGGTGGACCCCACATTGTACGCATCGTGGATGTGTATGAGAACATGCATCACAACAAGAGGTGCCTCCTTATTGTCATGGAATGGTGAGGTCCCAATGGTCTGGCCCCAAAGCTTACGCCAACTCCTGCCCAGCCGGGTTCCTCTGGGGTTGGGGGGGGGCGGGCAAGGATGGGAAGGGTGGGTAAGTGTCTTGGTTACCAGCTCTTATCTTTACACTTAACTCTCTAGCCTCGGGAACCCAGGGATATCAGATACTAAAATGGTAGTACTTGCAATAGAGAGGCTTCTCTTGATCTCCCCAAACACCCCCACATCATTTTCCATTTACTCTGTATTTCTTTTATCTATACATAGCTGTGTACATGTTTTTCCTCATTAGAATGTAAGTTCCTTGAGGGCAAGGACTGTTTTGTTTTTGTATCCACAGTAACTGGCACATAGTAGGCATTTGATAAATGCTTATGGAATTGAATTAAGTAGAGTATCTCAGAATTCTATAGTTGGAAGGTACCCTGGGGACTATCTAGTCAAATCCGTACCCAAAAGAAATCCTCACTCTAACATAACTGACAAATGCTCATCTCATCCAGATTCTGCTGCAGACCTCAAAGGAGGGGGGGACTCATCACCTCCCAAGGCAGCCCAATCTACTTTCAGAGACCTGTTATTGTTAGAAAGTGGTTCCTGACGTCAAGCCTAAATGTGCTTCTTTGAAACTCTGACTCACTTCTCCTGGTTCAGCTCTCTGGGGCCAAAGAGAATAAGTCTAGTCTCTCTCTTCCACATGACAACCCTTAAAGCCACACCCTCACCTATGTCTCCTTCAGGCTAAACACCCCCAATTCCTTCAACCAGTCTTCATATGACGTGGACTCAGGGCACTTCACCATCCTGATTACTCTTTTCTGGACATCTGCTTTCCAACATCCTTCCTAAACTTAAGTACCCAGAACTGAACTCCAGATATGGTCCAACCAAGGCATAGTACAAAATTGACAACCACCTGGAAGCTGTACCTGTCTTCATGCAGCCTAAGATTTCAGTAGTTTTAATAGCTACTACGTCTCACTCCTGAACCTGCAGTCCTCTGGGGAAAAAACAAAACAAAAAGCAAAACACAGATCTTTTCCAAATTGCTGTCTTAACTGTGCCCTCCCCATATGTTTTTAAAGTTGATTTTTTGGACCTGCATATAAAACTTTACATTTATACCTTCTGAATTAAAAAAAAAAACGATTTCCAAGGATTCAGAGGCAAGATAAATAGGATCCTATAGCCTAAAATTCTCTAGAGGAGTTAGCCCAGGAGAGATGGGAAACCCTCAAGAATAAAATTCTGAAGATAACAAAGCAAAACAATTCCAATGCGGAGAAGAAAAGAAGAAATTGAAGAACCGTCTAAAAAGACCAATTTGGGTGTACAAGAACTAATAAAGCAAGTTGAGTTGTAAGAAGACACAGAGCAGATGAAAATAAGAGTAGGTAACAAAAACAGGATGAATTTAAACATGTAGGGTGACCCTGTAAGAATAGTGTCAGGGGTGGTTAAGATCAGAATGAGACAAGTCTGGCAAAGAATTATAAAGAAAAAGAAAATTACTTACTAGTTGAAACCTAGGTGAAATGGGGAGATGAGATCAGGAAGATCTGGAAGCACTTACCTGGTCTCAAGGAGTCTCCCATCAGTGGGCCCCCATGAACAGCACCCTCTGATCTGGCAGACGCAATCACTGAACCACTCTCAGTGATCTTTGAAAGGTTGTGTAGAATGGGAGAGATACTACAGGTTTAGAAAGGGCAAATGTCATGATTTTTAAAAAGGGAACAAGAATGAATATGAAAACTTTTAGGCTTGTGGGTTTGACTTCAATTCCTCACAAAATTCTAGAGCATATTATTAAAGGGTTGGTTAAGGGACATCCAGAAAAGGAAAAAATTGTCACAAAGAGCCAGCATGCCCTCATCAAGAACAGGTCATACCACAGTGCTCTAGTTTCCTTTTTCAGAAAGTTACCAGACTGGGAGCCTGGAAGAATGCCATTGATGTAGTTTGCCTGGATATTAGCAGAACCTTTTATTAGACTTTGCATCTTGTTCCTGTTGGGGGGGAGGGGGCAGGGAATGGAGATATGTGAAATAGACAGATTTGAAACTGATTGAAGAGTAGTCATTGGTGTTCCAGAGTCATATTGGAAGAAGGTCTCTGGTGAAGTGCCACAGGGATCTTTACTTGTTTCTGTGCTATTCAACCTTTTTTGCAGTGACTTGATAAAGACATAATGACATGCTTATCAGATCTGTAGATGATTCAAAGCTGAGCCAGACACTTAACATATGACATAGGATCCAAAAACACTGGGCTCAGTCAAAGAAGATTCAATCTAATAGGGATTTATGTAATGTAAACTATTTTGGGTTTAAAAATCAAGATAGGGGAGGCTTGGTTAGATATCAGTTTTCCTGGAAAGGTCTCCATATGATTCAACAGTATGATGTGGAGATCAAAAGAGATGTTGTGATCTGAGGCTACATTAAGAGAAATGACAGTTCAGAATGAACAAGCAAGCACCCACCCTACTGACCGCCAGTCAGCCCACCCCCACCCTGGCTGCAGCTCCAGCATCATTGCTGTGAAGAAGGGTGGCTAGAGGTTGGGCTCTGGAGAGAGGATGGGCTCAGCCATGTGAAGTATTTTCAAACTGCAACAGATTTAGGGGCATCTAGGTGGTGCAGTGGGTAGATCACAGGCCCTGGATTCAGGAGGACCTGAGTTCAAATGCAGCCTTAGACACATAACACTTACTAGCTATGTGACCCTGGGCAAGTCACTTAACCCCATTGCCTAGCCCCCCCCCCAAAAAAAAACTGTAACAGATTTAAAATAATTTTGCCTGTAGAGTTGGCTACATAATCTCCTGCAAACTGGAAATCTTCAAGTACAAATCCTTTTAGATTCCCCAGTAGTCTCTTCATTCCTGTAAGTTACTTCAGGAGATCTCCTAATCCGGCTTTCCTGTGTGGATATGGCCAGTGCTACGATGTGATGGGAGCTGTCACTATTCAAAGGAGAAAGGATTGCAAAGCTTCTACAAGAATTTAACCTACAACCATGTGCCAAGCCAATCATATACATTTCTGCCTTTGTCAAATACTCACGTCTTCCCTTCTAAATTTTCATCGATTTCTGTTTTGTACACTGATTACAACAATAAAGTATTTGGTTTAATATGTAAAAAAGGTAAACATTTTTAAAAAGCAGAGAGGCATAGTGTCTAGTCCTGCTGTATTCTGCCAGTTTCTGGAATGTTGTGTTCTATTCCAGGCTCCCCAGTTTAGGAAGGACATCCCCTAAGCTGGGATAAGCAAAGGTAACCAAGATGGCAGAGGGCCTCTAGTTCATAACATGTGAGGATCAGTTGAAGAACTGACAGTGTTTACCCAGGAGAAAAGAAGACTTCTGTCAGGGGAGACATGAGAGCTATCTTCAGGTGTTGGAAAGGCTGTTGCATGAAGGAGGGATTAATTAGATTTGCTCTATTTTGTTTTAGAGGGCAGATACTGAATTATGAGTAGAAAATGCAAAAGGACAGATGTAGATTTGATGTAAGGAAAAACTTTCCAAGGATTACCCCTATTCCAGACTGAAATGAGGCACCTCCATGGCTAGTGGATCTTCTTTCTCTGAAAGTCTTAAGGCAGAGGCTGTTGAGTATGTTGTGTAGGGAGCTTTGGTTCAGTTATGAGTTGAACTAGCTAGACCTGACATTTTGTCCCTGAGTCTGTGATCCACTCATGATTCGCTGGACCAGCTTCTTCCTCACTTCTTTCTTGGTTCTTAATTGCCTCGGTCTATCCCACTCCCCCTACCCACCTACCAACCCAGCAGTCCAACCTCACTGTCATCATCCTTCCTCATTCCTCTTCTGCTTTCCCCATGTCCTTTGTCCTCTTGTTTCCTACTTATTGTCTGTCTTATCTCCTCTCCCTTTTTTTTCCTCTCTCCTATCTTCTCACTGAGTTCTTCTGAAATCAGCTCTGCCCCTCCAGGCCCCCTAGCAAATGTTGGTGAGTTGTGTTTACATGCTGAAAGGCTTTGAAAGGAAGAGAGATGAAAACTAATCTATCAACAAGTATTTATTAAGTGCTCACTATGTGCTAGGCTTCATGCTAAGTGCTAGCAAAGAAAAACTGAACACAGCTCCTGCCCTCAAGGAGCTTATATCTAATGATGTTCACATATGGAAACATTGAAGATACATACAAAGTAAATACATGGTAACCTGCAAGGGGAATGTGCCCACCTCTGGGGGGAGTAGGGGACCATGAAAGACTTTCTGCAGAAGATGGCTTTTATGTAACTCTTGAAGGAGAAACTAGGGATTCTAAGAGACTGGAGTGAGGGGGGAGAACATGCTAATCATGGAGGACAGACAGATGGGAGATGGAACCTTGTACATAAGGAACACCAAGTATGTCAATATGGCTGGATTGTAGAAGGTGCTAATGTGTAAGGATACTGGAAAGATGGGAAAGACTCATCTTATGAAGTGCCGAAAAGCCTTCATTTAGGTCTCGCCTGCAGGTGATAGGGAACCACTGGAGTTTTATTGAAGAGGTAGTGGTGTGGTGAGACTTGGGCTTTAGGAAAATCACTTTGGTGGTTGTGTGGGATGGATTGCCATGGGGAGAGACTCCAAGGAAGAGGGGATGAGAGTCTGGATTAGAACGGTGGCTGTGTGAGTGGAGATAAGGAAATGTCTGCAAGAAGTACTGTGGAGGTAGGAATGATGACATTTGGCAAGCGATTGGATATGTGGGATGAGTGAAAGTGACAAGTCACAGATGTACTTTGACATTGTCAGCCTGCCTGCCTGAAAGGGTGGTGGTGCCCTCCACAGTCATAGGGACATTTGGTTTCAGCCATTCTCAAACATACTGAGTTTGAGATGTCTCCGTAATTTCTGGTTTGAGATGTCAAATAGACAGTTTGTGATGTAGAATTTGTAATCAAAGGAAATGGGCACCCCAGGTGTTTGAGAACAGATGCTGTTAATGGAAAAGAAAATGGACTACTTGTCACAGAAGACTCAAGATGTTCTCAGTCTTCTGTCTGTGAAGTTTCTTCTTTCCAGAGAGAGAAAGAGAGAGAGAGGCGCAGACAGACAGAGACAGAAACGAACACACAAAACAGAGGGCATAGGGTACTCTTACCCTCAGCTTACTTGGCCTTCAATGATGGGTCCCCCCTCTCTTGCAGCATGGAAGGTGGTGAGCTTTTTAGCAGGATCCAGGAGCGAGGTGACCAGGCTTTCACCGAGAGAGGTATGGGACATCTGACAGGTCACCCAGTAGAGCCTGGGGAGGGTGCCAATTCCTGACTGCCCTTCAAAGTTGTGACTTTTGGGCCAGAATGAGCTACCTTTCCCCCTATGTTTTCTTCTCCTCTAAAGTCCAGGCTGGAGGAAAAAGTCAAAACAATATTTATCCAATATCCCTTCCACACCTAAATTTTCTTATCCTATCATTTCAGCCCAGTGCTATCCTTCAGACCCCTTCGGTCTGGAAAGGTGCAGGTTGGGGGAAAGTTCAGATATATCCCTGGAGGACAAACCCCTAATATGGGGAAAGATTAGGTATTTGTTGCTCATTCCTTTTTATGAAAGCCTCCTTGATCTCCCTCAAACTTCCATTTGGGGGTCCCCATCAGAATGGGGATCCTGGATCAAAAGGGCTATGGGATTGATACCCCACCAAGGGCAAATCTAAGGGCTTACCCCAGGGTGGATGTCATCTCATTTCTACCTTCCAGTGAATGTCTATTGCTATGGAATCCTCACATATGTTCTGGCTGGCCTCTGAGTCATGCCTTTAAGGGGCTTATCTGGCCTTTGTGCTCACAGACAACAGCTGGAGCTAAGTTTAATTTGGCCAATTTGGACAGTCTCTCTGTTGGCCTGGGTAGATTGGGTTTCCCAACCATAATACTGGGAGTTTGAAGGGTAGCGGGAGGTGGGGAGTTGAACTTAACCTTGACCTTTCATAAATGAAATTAAACCAACACACTTATACCTCCAGAGGCCTCGGAGATCATGAGGGACATTGGTACAGCCATCCAGTACCTGCATGCCATGAACATTGCCCACAGGGACGTCAAGGTGAGAGCTCCCTACCTCCAGAATGGTGTCAGGCTCCGAGAACCCTGATGTTTGGCACAATGTGCCAACTGCCAGAGGAGCCCTGAACAGTATCAACCTCTCAAGGTTTAAGATTGGTGTGGGCATTATATTTAAATGCACTAGCCACCAGAGAAGCTTAGGGTATTATCTACTGGCAGAAATAGAAGCAAGAGGTAATAGATTTTTGTCACCTTGAGAATGGCCCTGGGCAGTATCACAGGACCTCTTGCTCATAAACCTTTTTGAGGCTCCCTGTGACCCACATGATAAAATCCAAACTCTTTTGACTAACCATCAGAAGTCCTCCATAATGTGACTCTTGTTCAATTCAATTCAGCAATCATTTATTAAGCACCTGTTGTGTACAGAGCACTGTGCTGCATTCTAGGGGAGTTAGACAGTGTTTATAAAAACTCTCTTGGAGTTCACAATAACTCTGATTCACAATATTACATTGTAAGTACAATAGAGTTCCATAGGGTATCCCACTTGTAGCCCACAGAACAGTAACAAGGCTTATCTCCTCTTATAGCTCAAAGCACCCTCTATTCCAACCAAACTGATCTACTTACTGCTCTGCATGCATACCATTTGCTTTCCCACCTCTTTGTCTTTGCTCTTTCCATTCTACCTGCTACATTTTCCCATAATGCTTAGCCAAAGTCTCATCTCCCCCAGTAAGCCTTTTCTGACTTCCCACAGCCTTGGGGTTGGGGCTCCTTCTCCTAGACTCCTGTATGAATCCCTCCCGCATACTCTTCTTAGTAGTAGATGCTGCCTCCCACTGGTAGTTAACCTTTTATGCACTTGAGAGTCAAAAAGTGAGCCTAGAGTGGCCTAGGACTGGGTGGGAAGAAAGTAAACTTTGCAAAGGAAGGGCTGGTCATTGTTGTTATTGCTGGCTTTAGGGAAATGGAGAGGAGTGAATATTGATGGATGACATCTGGAAAGGGCTCAAGTTCATACTCATGGGTCTAAGTGAATTTCCATCTATTTCCTTTCCATCCCTCATATGTGATGCTCTTATCTATCGTGATACTTTTGAGTCCCCCTCTCGCTCCCTTGAAATGTCCTCATACTTCTGTTACATCATTGTTTTTTCCTTTCCTGTCACAGCCAGAAAACCTGCTCTATACCTCCAAAGGGCAAGACTCAGTGCTCAAGCTCACGGACTTTGGGTTTGCCAAGGAGACTACTCAGAATGCCCTCCAGACGCCCTGCTACACACCCTATTATGTGGGTGAGTCCCAAGCAGCCAGCCCCCTACCAATTCCTCCTGCCAAAGAGAAGAATATTCATAGGATAGTCACAAGATCATAGGTTTTAAAGTTGGAAGAGAACTTGGAGCCCATGGAATCTAGCCCCCTCAGTTTATAGATGAGAAGACTCAGGTGAGACCCAGAGAATTCACATGCCTTGTCTGTTATAGTGGTGGTATACAACTGAATCAGAATATGAACCAAAGTCTTCTTACTCTAAATCCATTACCCTTTTCTGTGTCTAAGAATGTTTCTCCTCTTCCCCCAAAACTAAGGCAGAGGGGACCAGGCTCTGATCCTGACCCTCTCTGGGGGACTGAAGCATCAGCTACTTGACCTATCTCTCTGCTGCCCCCCCCCATTGCTGTCTTGGTGCTAAGCACATGCCAAAGTAGCCACATCTAGGACAGATATGAGCTATCGGGTGGTCAAGTGGTTACACTCTAAAGCTCTGTTTTCAAGGAGAGTTTTAGAAAAGTCTTCCCATACTTAGACTCCTATGATTGAAAGCACTTCAATGAATTGATGTTCTCACCCACTTAGGTTCTCCCTCAATCATGGTGGATCTAAACATCCACACCTTTTTATTCTAAGCAGACTTTGATCGTATCTTCCTGTAAACCCTCTGCTGGGGGCCTTCATGTCAACACCAATGGAGTATACAAACTGTCTTTATCTGCTCTCCCACACCGTTTCTGCATGACTAACCTGCCTTTTTCCCAGTCCTACATTTCTTGGGTGAGATCTTTTATACCACATCTGGTGGACAATTCTTTATTGATAATAAACTGCAGCCTGTCCACATCTGACTTGTGACCTCTCTGTGGCCCTTTGAGTAACCTGCAACTAATTCTTTAGAGACTGTGGGATTCCATGATTTGAAGTCATGCAGTATTGCCTAAAGAATAGTGATAAAAAATATGGCCCTTTGTTTGAGGGAGAAGCTTGGGGTCTGTAGCTTCTCCAATTTAACTGTCCCTTTTATCTGACTGAGATTCGAATTCTGCTAAACCAGCTCTAAAAACTATCCATCCAAACTGCATGGCCTAGGTAGAAGAATAGGGAGACTTCATCTATATGGCCCCAGCACAGTCACCTCTTTGTATACTGTCTTTGTTTCTTTTTTTGTAATCTTTTTACTTATTCAGACATTATATGGGGGACTGTGGTGTTAGAGATGACCTGGGTGTCCCATGAAATGTTTCTTGCTTAGTTACCTTTGGGCATGTGGAAAAACCAATTCCACCTGCCTCTTTATCTTCCTCTCCTAGCAGAAGCTATCCTTTCCTTTTTCAGCAACTTGCTTTTTAGTCTCCTGGTTATGTTGAGAGTGAGAATGTCAAGGTTGATACAATCTCCTTCAGTTTGTTCATTGGACAGATCTCCCATTTAGCATGCCAACTAATGTTGAATTAGTGTTAGTAGACTGTCCAAATTGCATTCTTAGCACCCTCTGCCCCTCCCCCTTTGTTGCCACCATTATTTTCAGAGCAGCAGAGGGCCACGCCAGCCTGAAAGTTACTGGGAGCTTTCTTGGGTTCATGGGTTGCTATAACCAAAGAATTCATTACTAATATGGCCAACTTCCTGGTGTTCATCTTCTCATCACTTAACAAGGCTGGTCCTCAGAAAACAGACACAGTCTGTCACTAGGGCTGTAATTGGAAAACAAATAAGAGAAATCCTGGCTCTGAGTCATGCTTTTGAAATGTGGTAAAAGAATTCCATCAGCCAAAAGGGTTAACACCAAACTTGAGCTGTGTTTTTCATACTTTTAAAATTTTTGTCTGAAATTTATATTCTGGAAAAACACACAGAATTCTACCTAAAATAAGACCTGGGCAGGAAACTCATTTTGGTGACGAGAAGAAAAGAGTGACACATAGGAGAAGGATACTTGCTTAAGGTTACTCAGCTATTTAGCAGCAGAATCATGACTTGAACCCAGGCCTTCTGATTTCTTCCTCAGTATTCTTTTCAGTACAAGAGCAGACCCATCTTTTCCTTCTCTCCTAACCTACTGGGCAGTTTTTGTGGACTATGGGGTGATTTAGTACATAGTCATCCTACAGAGAAAAGTCTGAGCAGGAAACCAGCCCTGTTTCTGAATTTGTATTGAAAGCTTGGGCAACAGAGGTCTTTGTAAAGCTGAGGTCTTAGTGATTCTTTTTCATGAGCCACAATCTCAGTGGGGTGGGGGGAAGGGAAGCACAAAGTCTCAGGGTCCTCAGCCTCGACTCTGACTTTCTGTGCAGCAGGCTCTTCCTATCCTCTCAACACCCACTCATTCCTTGCCAGTCCATTGGTGTCTGGGGAGATCATGACTCAGTGCTCCCAGAACATTTCTGTCTGTGCTCATGTGTCTTAGAAAAGGTGCCTCCTTTCCCATATCTTAGCTTTCCCTAGCATTGTCTTGACCTGTTGAATGCAATAGTCTCTGATGTTTAGGGGGAAAAGCATAATCTAGGAGTCAGGAGTTTTGTTATTGTTCAGTTGTGTGACTCTTTGTGACCCTATTTGGGGTTTTCTTGGCAAAGATACTGGAGTGGTTTGCCATTTACTTCTCCAACTCATTTTCCAGATGAGAAAACTGAAGCAAATAGGGTTAGGTAACTTAACCAGAGTCATACAGCTAGTAAGTTTCTGAGGCTACATTTGAACTCAGCAAGATGAGTCTTCCTGACTCTAGGCCTGGCTGCTAGGTTCAAATCTCTACTCTGATGCTTATTTGCTGTGTGATTCTGAGTAAATCTCTTACCCTTTGCTGAATCTGTTTCCTTAACAGTTAAATGGCTATAACAGTCTCAACCATCTCAGTATTGTTGTGAAGTTCACTTTGAGTACTAGCTATGAAAGCCCTGTTTAAGCTCATATGTTATACGAGTATGGGGGGAGTGCAGGGGTAGGAGACATTATCTATAAGTAGTCAGTCACACACAGGCTGCTTGATGAAGGATGGATAAATTTGCTTGGAGAAACCCAGATGGAAAAAAAAGACAAGTGAGTCTCCCTGGAGTAAAACGTTCTTCAAAGAAAACCCACTTTGTTGAACATATTCAGATGACGGGCTGCTGCTGTGTGTTACAGATTTTCTTCTCCTTGTAAAAGAATTCCCTAAAGATTTTTCAGGCTTTGTCTTCTAAGAAGTGTGTTCCTCCAGAACATCTTCTCTAGGACCAGCTCAGGCTCATAGATCACTCCCAGAGTTACAAAGACATGTTTGCTTCATCAAGAGTCAGCAAAGTGCAAAGAGGAGAGCTGAGTCGGAAAGCCTGGGTTTGAGGACAGCCTCTGTCCCTTAGCTGGATGGACTTGGGCATACCCCCTCACTCCTCCAAGCCTCAATTTATTTTCCCCCCTTAGGCTGTACCTATAATTTCATCCATGTAGGAAGCTCATGGTATGGGAATCCCTTGCAGATGCAGACTGACAACTCACTTATAATTTGTAGTCTGAGAGTTGTCTGGTCACACAGAAGCAGCTGGAGGATTTAAACCCAGGTCTTCTAAACTCCACATCCATTACCTTTTTATTAAATGGAGACTTGCTTGTATGCTAAATAGGGATAATAATATGCACTACTTACTGGACAAGGGTAAAGAAAGGTATTTTTAAGCTTTAAAAGTGCCCTGGAAATGGGAATTATTTCTTATTTTATTTGGTTCTCAAAAGTTCACATTGGTGACATAGCCAGGACTCATGTTCTCTGAACTGGAATCTAAATTTACTAAATTAGATTTATGTGCACCTTTTTGGGGGGACTGGGTCTATAAAATCTGGGTCACTTGTACTTAATTCCCTCTGCCCTTCCCTTGCTCCGCTCCATCCCCCCCCACTCACAGAGCCTGTGGGCATGTGGGTCAAGGCCTTCCTGCCTAGTTAGGACTCCTCCACTTCCTCCAGGCCACCTCTGCCTTCTCCCTTCCCCCTCAGCAGCTTGGCGCATCGACTGGAATCCCTTTTACACTGGCGAAAAGCTTGCTTCTCGTCAGCCAGCCCCAACAGACGGTTCTTGGCAGTGCCTTCTAACTGAGCCACTTATCTGAGCAGAGGAGACTGGGTCTATATTTAAACCTATTTTTCCCCCTTCTCTATTTTTGCATGAATTTGGCGATAGTGAGAGACGCTGCATGGGCCTAAGTCAGAAACAGGTTTCCCAGTTGGGCCCGGTTCAGTGTCTTTCTCAATTCCTCTGGATGCTTTCATTCATTAATTCAGCAAATATTTATTAAGCACTCACTATGCACAGTGCACTGAATCCCTGTTGGGAAGCAAAGGGAAAATTAAATTAGACTCATTCCTTGTCTTCATCCAGCTCATGGTCTGATAGGGAAGGTGAGATATGAACCAGATAAATAGAATACAAATCAGAACAGAAGAATAACATTGATATTCATTTGACATTATATAGCACTTGATAGTTTGTAAACCAGGCTACATATGTTACCTCCTTTGATCTTGTAGCGGCCCTGTGAGGTGGGAAGGACAGGTAATTCTTTTTTTTTTTTTTGGTGAGTCAGTAGGGTAAAGTGCCTTGCCCAGGGTCACACAGCTAGTAAGTGTCAAGTGTCTGAGGCCAGACTTCCTGAATCCAAGGCCTGTGCTCTATCCACTGCACCATCTAGTTGCCCCTGGACAGGTAATTCTAATGTTATTTCATAGGTGAAGACATTGAGGCTTGGAAAGGAGAGTGACTTGCCCACAGTTATACAGCTAATAAGAGGGCCTAGTTTTCTGATGAGGTGACACAATGGATAGATGCTGATCTTGGAGTAGGGGAGACCTGAGTTCAGATCCTGCCTCAGACACTTAGTAGCTGCATGACCCTTGCCTAGTCACTTAGCCTCTGCCTGCCTCAGTTTCCTCATCTGTAAAATGGAGATAAATAATAGTGCTGACCTCACCAGGTTGTTATGAGAATCACAGGAGATAACAAATAGAAAACTTTTTGCTTTTTAATGTGCCATAGGAATGCTAGCTATCATTCTGATTCCAAATCCAGTGTTCTTTTCCCTAAACCACAACTGCTTCTAAATACAGAAGAAAAATATGAGTAGTTATTAAGAGGTTTATAATGTGTTATGTGATCAGATGAGGAAGGTAACCCCTACCTCCCTCTATGTCTTCAGACTTTAGGACCCAGGGAGTTCAAAACCGGATGGCACAGTCAGGCCAAGGGTCTGGCTGCTGGCTGGAATAGGGGCTCATCTCCTCAAGGACAGCCTCTCCCATTGCGTGAATGTTTGTCTGGCACGTGTAGGGTGGAGGCTCACAGGACGTCCTTTCGGTTTTCTTTCCTTCTAGCCCCTGAAGTGCTGGGTCCCGAGAAATATGACAAGTCATGTGACATGTGGTCACTTGGGGTTATCATGTACATCCTGTGAGTATGGGAGCCAGTCCTGTGGGTTTCCGCTTAGAACACACTTCTCGCATTCAGCAGTTTTCCTTCCCCTCTCTTTGTCTCCTCCTTTTTCTTGCCTCTCCTTTCTTCTTCCCTCTCTTTCCCCATATTTCCCTCCTTCCTCCTTTTCCTTTGCTGCTTCTCCCTCCCCTCTTCTCTTCTGTTTCCCCTCCTCCTCCTTTATCTCCCTTCCTCTCCCTCTCCCTTTTCTCCTCCTTGCCTTTCTTTTCTCTCTTCTTCTTCCTTCCCCCTCCTCCCCTTCCTATCTCCCTCTCCCTTTTCTCCATTTCTCCCCCACCTCCCTCTCCCTTCTTTTTTCTCTTCCTAACTCTATGGGACTTTGAATCAGATAATGGTTTGCTGTAGCCTAAGACATCATGGTCCTGAAGTCAGAAAGATCTAGGGTCTAATTCTCTCTGTATTCCTAATGAGCAGGGTGATCTTGGTGTTTTTTCCTTCTGGGCCTCATTTCTCCTTTTTGTAAAATGAGAATGTAAGACTAGATGGCGGTTGAGGTCCATTCCTCTTATGCTGGAAAGCCCTCCCCAAAATAATGAGTCTCGTTTATGCTTTCCTGCTCCAAGAAATGGACTGGATATGAGCTCATGTGCTGGTATTCTTTTCACCATCTCTAATAAAAGTACTGTACTGAGAGTCATAGGACTTGAGTTCAAATCCCAGTTTGGCCATATAATGCCACCCGTGAGATCTTACAATGCTAGGCTCAGTTTCCTCAAGGGACTTGGATTAAATGATATCTCAGCTCCCTTCCAGCCCGACGTCCTATAAATTGTTGTATGAGTTGTGAAGCTCTCAGCCCTCGGTAACTAAAATCGCAAGATACAGAGCTGGAAGGGACCTGGGCGGGGCACCCAACTCAATCCATCCCTCACCAGAATCCCTTCTACAGCATGCCCAGAGAACCGACCTCCAACCTCTGCTCACAGACTTCCAGTGCTGGGAAGCCTTCTGCCCCCATTTTCAGACAGCTCTGATTGATTGGACGTTTCTTCTTAGATATGAAGTCTGCTACTTTGCAACTGCCTCCCAGATACTCCTAGTTCAGCCCTCTGGGGCCAAAGAAAACAAATCTAATCCCCAGATGTTTATATTACTATTAAGGGATCCTATTTCTGGCCCCATCCAGCTAGCCCTTCCCTGGAGCTGCTTAAATACTCTTTCTTAGGTGGCCAGTCATAGAATGGACTATAGATCGGCTATTTGGGTGTTACTCTCCTTCTGTATCCTCACCAATATTCCAACTCCCCCGCCCCCCAAAAATAAAGCTTAACAGTTTCTGACCCTTTTCCCGTAGTCTTTGTGGCTTCCCTCCATTCTACTCCAATACCGGCCAGGCCATTTCCCCTGGAATGAAGAGACGGATTCGAATGGGACAGTATGGATTCCCCAATCCTGAGTGGTCTGATGTCTCAGAAGAAGGTATGCCCCTCTGCTGTATTTCACCATTCTATAAAATACATTCACCCACTCTCTTCTTGGTGCCTCCTACCAATTATTATAGTTCTAATAATCATAATCATAATAGCTAACATTTATGTAGCACTTACTTTGTGCCAGATACCATGCTAAGTGCTTTGCAATTATTATCTATTTTGAAGCTCACCAAAGCCCTGCAAGGTACAGATGAGGAAACTGAGGCAGAGAGGTTAAGTGACTTACCCAGGTTCACACAGAAGTACCTGAGGCCAGGTTTGAACTCAGGTCTTCCTGATTCCAGGCCTGGCACCCTATCCACTGTATTCCCTTGGTGCCTTAATGATTACTATGTCCTTGGAATTGTAAGATCATTCACCGATTATTTATTATGTGCAGAGCACTCTGTTAGGCTCTCAAGATGCAGTAATAATGAAAAGTCCCTGCCTTCAAGGAGTTTACATTCTACCAGGAAGTAGAAAGGACCAAAATGTGCATAAATAAGTCAATACTAAGTATGTATTCATTAAATACAAAGCTGTTGGCAGGGGGTGGGGGGAGTGGCATTTAGCAGCAGATTGGGGATCAGAAAAGGCCTCGTGGAAGACATAACACATGTGTTAAGTCTTGAAGGAAGCTGGAGCTTCCTTCTCAGGAGATGGAATCATGCCTATAAGGAGTGGCAAGTGGGGCATTTTGACTAGACCATAGAGTGGATAGAGGAAATAATTCTGGAAACACAAACGGAACCAGATTGTAAAGGGCTTTCGATGGCAAACACTGGAGTTTCTAGAAACAGTGGGAAGTCCCTGAACCTTCTTGATCAGGGAGTGACACGTTAGATCTGTACTCTAGGAATATCCCCTTGGCAGCTGTGTGGAAGATGGTTGGAGAGGGGAGAGATTGGAAGGCGAGGGGGCCAGTGAAGGGGTTGTCCAAGGCAGGTATGATAAGGACTAGAATTAGGGGGGTTAGCCATGCAAGTGGAGAGGAGATGAATGGCAGAGATGGTGCTGAGGTAGAATCCACAACTGATTGGCTGTGGGGTCGGAGAGGAGAGAGAGGGAAAATGGAAGGGGAGACAGAAGGGAGGAGAGCTGGCCGCAGACCTGAATGCCTGGAAGGATGGTGGGGATCCCAGAGTAGGATTACTGGGAGAGGCAATGATGGGGTATGGACCCAAGCCGAGACCTTTGCCCCTCACCCCAAAAAGAATTTGGGTCTCATTTGTCTACAGGTCCCAGAAAACCCTTGAACTCTATTTGAACCTTTACCTGGTCAAGGAAGTCTAGCAGTCCCCCGAAGTCATTCTTATTCTTATTTCAATGGGGACTGGCTCTTCCTTATCTCCTGGGCCCTATCTCCCTGTTCTTTGATAGCCTAATTCCCTGGGTTCCCATCCTTGATCTTATCCAGACCCCATTCAACCTCTTCCTTATCTTCTAGGCTGTACCATCCAGTTCTTTGTTGCCCTGATAAAGCCTAGGCCTCCATTGTCTATTACCGGGAGGACCCCATTCAACCTCCCAGGCACTCCCATCAGGATTCTTCCAGGACCCTACCCCCCCAGTCACCCCAGCTTCAAGATCCTCCTCCCAGCTCCTCCTCCAGTCACCCCAAATTACTTGGCTATATATAAGATCAATCCTGGCCCTTGGTTAGGGCTGAGACTTCCTCATGCCGGCTCCTCCTTACTAGCGTCACAAATGGTCAGATTCCGTAAGAGTCTGTCCTATCTGTCCCATCTTTAATAAACTTTGTCTTTGGTTGAAAGAAGACTGGGGTCAAATTCTTTTGGGAAGGACCCACGTGTCATGATTTTGGGGTCCCAGCACTCCTAGCATCTACACCTCAACAGCAGCAGGCCATGGTGCTGTTCAGACGCTGTGACCAGAGACAAATCACTTAGCCTCAGTTTTCTCATCTGTAAACTGGAAGTTAGGTGTGCCCCACTTTTTTTTTTTTTAGTGAGGCAGTTGTGGTTAAGTGAGTCACACAGCTAGTGTGACTAGCTTGCCCAGGGTCACACAGCTAGTGCATGTCATATGTCCGAGGCCAGATTTGAACTCAGATCCTCCTGACTCCAGAGCCGATGCTCTATCCACTGTGCCACCTAGCTGCCCCTACCCCACTTATTTTGTGGGGTATTTGTGAGCAGAGCTCTCTGCAAACCTCAAAGCACCACGCAGGTGTGAATGATATTATCACCATTCAGTTCAATCCCTTCATTTTTCAGAGGAGAAAGCTGAGGCGCAGAAGCAGAAAGGGATTTATCTGAGGTAACACAGCAAGGTAGTGACAAAGCCGGGATACAGATGTTCAGAGTCCTAGCTCCTTAAGAGGACCGGGCTCCTCTGATTTCCTTTTTCTGGCTTAATCAGCTTTCATAACTCATCCTCACCCTAAATCAGTTATCTAGGAGTAAATTGATGACTTTTTTTTTTTTTTGAGATAAGTTTTCTCCCCTGAGACTGTTGGTTTGGGGCAGAGGGGATGTGGGGATGTTTAATGCCCTGAAGAAAAAGACTTTTTTTTTTTACCGGCAGATTTCTTATTCAGCCCTCATAGAGCATAAGGAATGGTCTAGTTTTAATGGGATTGCTCTGCTGAAATAGCCCGCAGGCCACCCTCTTCTCTCCATTTGAACTACTGCTGAAGCCAAATAAAAAGCTGGGCTCAGAGGCTCAGCCTCTCCCTTCCCCCAACACCTAGGCTGGCCGCTAGAGGAGGAGCAGCGGCAGGGGCTCCTGTCATGTTCTGAACCTGCAGGGGCATGTGGTCTAGTGGGCCTTTCCTGGGGGCCACTGGGACCAGTAATTTCCACTTAAAACCAGAGCTGCCACCAAGGGTGCCAACTAAAAATAGAAAGAAGCAGCAGGGTGGAGTGGAAATGCCATGAGGCAGGCAGAGCACCTGTTCCTCAATTCCAGCTCCTTGGGTGGCGGGGCACGTAGCTTCCTCTCTCTCTCAGCCTCGATTTCCTCATCTGATAAATGCACTCATAGATGATAGAGTGTTGGGGCTGTAAGGGGCCACAGAAACAATCTGGTCCAGCCCTCTCATTTTACAAAGGCAGGCAGCTGGCCACGCTCACAGAGCTATTTTGTGGCCAGGGTGGGGGGTGGGGTTGTGTTTGAACTTCAATTTCATTTGTTAAGCTCCTGCTGTGTACAAGGCCCCGAGGATACAGAGATAACATAAGGGGCTTACATTCTACTAGGGAATACAATATGAAAGCAGATAGATTAAAACAAGGTGATTCCAGGAGGCAGAAAGCATTAACAACTGGGCAGTCTTGTGGTCTTTCCACTATAGCACCTGCCTCTGTCCTTCCTGGCAGCCAGGTTGCTCAGTGGATAGAGAGTCTTTCCTGGAGTCAGGAAGACCTGTGTTCAAATGCAGCCTCAGATGCTTAAAAGCTGTGTGGGCAAGTCATTTAACTCTGTTTGCTTCAGTTTCCTCATCTGTAAAATGAGCTGGAGAAGAAAGTGGCAAACCTCTCCAGTATCTTTGCCAAGAAAACCCCAAATGGGGTCCTGAAGAATCAGATATGACTGAAATGCCTGAAAACAGCTGTCCTACCTAACCCTACAGGGGTGTTGTGAGGACCAAAAGAGGCAATGGATAGGAAAATACTTTGTTTGGGAAGTCTAAAGTACTATAGAAATGCAGGGTATGGTTTATCCCTTGTTTGCTGGGAATAGAACTGGCCCAGGCTTAATCCTGTGTATGGTTCAGTGGGGCAGCAGGGCCCCTTCAATAATACAGCTGGCTGGGGGATAGGGAGAGATCTCAATTCACGTCAGCATTCTAGATGACTGACTTTATAAAATTTATTTTCCAGGGGAATCACTTTACATGAGGCTAAACCAGAACTGAGTTATAAGGCATTTATTTCACCATGTAAGAAAGCATGTGTTAGTGAATACCCCTGGCACCCCATATAGGAGTCATTAAAGGCTGAGACAATGATATCTGCTGTAGGTATGGTGTAAAAAAGCCCTGGGTTCTAATCCCAGCTCAGCCACTGACTTGCTGTTTTTCCCATCCCTGATCTCACTCTCCTACTCCATTAAATGAGGGAGTTGGAATAGATGGGCGCTAAGTTCCTTCGGAGCTCTGACATTCTTGGATAGACTTTTAGCATCCTGTATTTGGAACCCAAGCCTTTTGTCTAATTCCTCTTCCCTCCCACCGAGGCAGGGCATTGGAGTTGCTAGGGGAAACCCTGGCTACTGCTCTCTTTAGTCTAACACTGAGTTACCCTGTGGGGTGAAGGGGGAGGGGGCAGCTGCCGCTTAAGTCTGCCCAGCTGGCCACATTATCCTTACTTAGCAAATCCAGTCCCCTTCCACATTCTCTGTGTATATGTGGGTGTCCTTTTCTCATGGGAAGCCCCTGTGCATACCACCTGACTAGATACCCGTTCTCAAATTACCTTTACTTTCAAGATTTCGAGGGAAGTGGGAGTCAGGGAAGAAGATGTGAAGGTGGTCCAGAGCAGGGGATCATACTGAGATCACAGATTTTTTCCTCTGAGACTGTATTATGGGATTATAGGCTAAAAGAGGATTGGCTTTTTTGATCCAATAGAATTTGAAAGTCTTCAGTGAAGGCATAGTCTTCCCACTAGGCTGGGAAGGAAAGGACAGACAGGCTAGGCGTTAAAGATTTTCTGCAACTATTTCACATGTGAAAGTTGATTATATTTGGCCTGATCACCAGTGTCATGGGTTGTACACTGTTCTCCCTCCTTCTGAGAGGTTTCTTGTAGCTGCCCAGCAAGGAGGGCTCTTTGGAGGAGTAAAAGGAAAATTTGACTTGCACAATATTGAAATGTTGATGAACAGGTTCTCTTTCCTTCCCTTCCTTTCTTTCATCCTCTTTTCACTATTTTCCTCTTTCTCTCTCATCTTTCTTTTCTGTTCTTTTTCTCTCTGGACTCTTCTTTCCTTCTCTCTCCTCCATTCTTTGCTCTTTCACATTCACTCTCT